TTGCCCTCACACTTTCCTAACATCAGGGTCTTTTCCAGGGGAAATTGTCAGGGTAGGCCTGATATATTTTGCTGCCTGAGAAACAGCAGATTATGTCCCTCCGAAACATGCAGTTTTGCCTGTTGGAAGTTTTTGTTTGTTTTGCAACCTCGCATGCTGCCTTTAGTAGGTTTGGCTGGGATAGACCTTTCTAGGCTGGGGTGATCGTCAATCTATCTAGCAATGATCCATCACTCTCTCTGCTCACTGCCTCCTTTTCCTCCCTTTTGACTGTTGAAAGCAGAGAGTCTGTTGAAGTCTGTTGCTCAAACACAATCATGTTTGTTGTTTTGCTGTTTGATCTGTTCCATTTGTAACTCTTTTTCCCCCCTGCTACTAATGTCTCAGAGCAAGTTATTGAGAGAGTAACTCCCAGTTAATGAGAAAAAGGGGTGGACTACTGCAGGGAACTCGAAACCATGCTGCTTTGTGAATCCCCCCACTCGTCGCCAAAATTCAAGCTCTGGAACACCGCCAAGCAGCCAAGGCCTAAAATTATCCTGACATCTGAAGCAAGAGATTCCAGTAGCGGCTCTTCGTTTCCTGGCGTGCAACATACAATTTAAAAAGCTAACAATTTGCTACTCTTTTATGTCACTAAGAATACAGTTCCTGAATGGTTGGTTAAGCTTGTCCGATGGTGCAGCTGACTTTATGGGCTGAGAACAAGGAGTGAATGGACAGGCGATCAGGAGTGTTGTGGCCAAAGTGTTCCAGGGAATTTGATGTGCCAAGGCTGAGATACTCCTAGACCTTCAAAGAAGGCAATACCACTGTCATGAGCTACATCTCATGGAGGTCAATATTGTGCACATCTAATAGAAGAAGAACATCTAATACAGGAGGTGGCTCCTAAGATATTTGGCACCAGAGAAATGTGGATTATTCTCCTTGGTTTTTACATGTATTCTCTTTCTCTCTTCTTATGATTTGGTTCCTCCCTACCTGTCATATCATCTCTCTTATGACTGTCTACCCAGGTCACCTGGTCTATCCAGGCTGTACGGTTGTGGGTGGTCACCCCAAGAGAAGGCTGGAAAGCCACTACTAGGAACTAGGCTTTCTCAGTGCTAGCTGCAATGTTTTAGAATGTGTTGCCTGTTGACATACACTAGGCTCCCTCCCTCTTGACCTTCAGGAAATGTGTAACATCTGAGCTTTTCAAATAGACCTTCTGGAAATCATCCCCGTTTGACATGCTTGTGAAGCCATGAGTTTGAATTTGAATTTTGTTTGATATTGCCTCTGGTTTGTTGTTGCTGCCTTGTTTGTTTGTTTTGGAGGGGCGTTATTATTTGTGTGCTGTGCAGTTGGTGAGTGGGTATGTGTTTTCATCCGTTGTTAGCCCCCCCCCCCCAGAGTAGTGGCTTGGCACTAGATGGGCAGGATACAAATGCAACTAACTAACTAAGTAACTAAGTAACTAACTAATAAATAAAGTTTAATTCATTATTTTTATTTTGCTTTTGTAAACTCTCATGGAAGCTGTGCTGAAGAGTGGTAGGGAACTCAAATAAGTAAGAAGGATTGGACCGCTGGCCCTCCTAGACTTATTGTGGTCAGCCAGTAGGGAAGTCCCTCATCACAACATGAGTACAATGGCACCTTCTAAATAATCCCTAGAAACTAGCAATTAGTGGTCTACATGGAAAATTTCACACAGCCATCAGGAATAGTTACCCTTCATACTGTAGATTTGTTAAAGCCCTTGAAAGGCCCAGCATCTCTTGAAAGGAGGAACGAACAAATTCTGTAACAGTCCACATTTGCATTTTTGACTGACCTCAGTCTCTCGCCCAAGACATTTGCTGGACGTCCTGGAGTTTGGCGATTATGAAAGAGGAATCAACATTCCTCAACGTTCACCACACTATGTGGAATGCAATTTTATACGCCTCTCACAACTCTCCTCCAGGCATCTTTTTCAAAATATGCTAAAACGCCCCCAAACAAATATTGCAGCCTATTTAACTTTCTCAGCCTGGTCACAAAAATGTAAGTTGCCTCCGCTGCATATGGGGAAACCCTTTCTTGAACCTGAAACTACCATGGGTACAGGAACCTACAAAAACAAAAGGAGCCGAGAGCTCAGGTAGGCTTACAGGCATGTGTGACAGACTGGCTCTAGATACATCTTGGATTTTTGCATATCTATTGGTTCTATTGTTTTTAAATGTTGCAATCCTGCCCAGGGTAGACCATTGGTCTAGATAGGTGGGGTATAAATCTAATAAAATGAATGAATGAATGAATGAATGAATGAATGAATAATGAATGAATGAATGAATGAATGAATGAATGAATGAATGAATGAATGAATGAATGAATGAATGAATGAATGAATGAATGAATGAATGAATGAATTTTGCACCCCATCTTAGCCAGATGAAGGTGTACAGTTCTCAAAGCAAGTCAGGTTACCTTGGCACAGAAGGTAGAAAAACCACAAGCACCTCTCTCACTATCACAAGCAGTAGAAATACAACAATTACATTTAGCAACAAACAATCTGCTGTGCTTTCATGACATGTAAAATCTGGCCCCTCAAAAGACTCACAAACTGACTAAACTCTACAGACTGCAGGAGAAGACCAAGAATTGTGGTTGGGTTTTTCTGGCCTGCAACACCCCACTTACGGAAGCTGTGGTCCTGCCCACCTAGAGGGCACCCCTGTGGGAAGGCTGCTGTTGCCTTCTTCTCCAAGAATGCGAAGGATGTAAAATTGGAATGATGTTATTTACCCACTACATTTTTATTCCATAACATGGCACTGTAGGCAATCCCATTTAACACAGCTGAGAGAGCCAAAGACCTCCTGTCTCTACTTCTGAGGGGGAAAGAGGGTGGTTAAGGGGCTGTAACATCAGGGAAAGAACTGGTGGGAATAAAGGACGGGCTTGCTTGGCCCACAATATGTGGTTCCTGCTGTGCCAACATAAAGGTAAGCACTTCTTCTTGCCTCTGCCCCAGTCAGGGTGAATTTGATTTAAATCATGTTGATATAAACCAGTGGTTCTTAACCTTTGTTACTCAGATGTTTTTGAACTGCAACTCCCAGAAACCCCAGTCAGCACAGCTGGTGGTGAAGGCTTCTGGGAGTTGCAGTCCAAAACTCCTGAGTAACCCAAGGTTAACAACTAGTGATATAAACCACAAGTTAAATCACAACTAAAATTACTAGTCAGTAAGCATTTTATTTAAAATAAAAAGTATTTAAAGTTTAAAAATCAGTTTTAAATTAAGCAATCTGATTTAAATTTTTTAAAAATCCAATTTTTTGATTCATTTAAATTTAAATCAGACGTTTTAAAATCAAATGTTTACTGACTAGCGATTTAAATAGCGGTTTAAATCGGCTTGATTTAAATCAAATCCACCTTGGCCCCAGCACTGAACAAAGAGCTTCTCTTCAGTGAGAGATAAGCATCTTTTTAACTTGTTCTGATATTTAAAAGAACATCTTAAAATCCTGCCTTGAGACCAGTTTGCCTCTTTGCCCGTAAGGACAGACCAAGGGGGAAAATGCTCTGGCAGAAAGCAACTTCCTCTGAGCTCCAAGTCTGAATTGGCAAGCATGTTATAGAATCATAGAATAATGAAATTGGAAGGGGCCTGTGAGATAATCAAGTCCAACACCCTGCTTAATGCCAGAATAATGAAATTGGAAGGGGCCTGTAAGATAATCAAGTCCAACACCCTGCTCAATGCAGGAATACAAATCAAAGGGTATCTGTCAGGTGGTTGTCTAAATTTCTCTTGAATGTCTCCAGTGCTGGAGCACTCACCACCCCTCGAGGTAATTGGTTCCACTGTCGTACTACTATAACAGTTATGAAATTTTTCCCAATATTCAATAGAAATCTGGCTTCCTGTAACTTGAACCCATAGTTCTGTGTCCTGCACTCTGGGAAGATCGAGAACAGTTCCTGCCCCTCCACTGTATTACTCTGAGAAGATCGAGAACAGATCCTGCCTCTCCACTGTATTACAAACTTTCAAGTATTTGAAAATTGTTATCACATCACCCCTCTGCCTTCTTTTCTCAATGCTAAACATGCCCAGTTCCTTCAGTCTTTCCCGATAGGACTTGGTTTCCGGCTCCCTGATCATCCTTGTTGCCCTCCTTATTCCAATTTGTTAGTATAAGAACATAAGAAGAGCCCTGCTGGATCAGGCCAAGGGCCCATCTAGCCCAGCTTCCTGTATCTCACAGGGGCCCCACCAGATGCCTCTGGGAGCACACGAGACAGCTGGATACCTGTCTCCTGATACCCCTTCCCCTGCATCTGACATTTGGAGGTACCTTCCTTCTAAGCCTAGATATTATACATCCCCATCATGGCTTGTCACCTACAATGTACTTTTCCTCCAGGAATCTGTCCTTTTCAAGGCATCTAGGCCAGATGCCATCACCGCATCCTGTGGCAAAGAGTTCCATCCTTCTTGAATCGTGGTGTCCTAGACACAATACTCAAGGTGAGGCCTAACCAGTGCTGAATATAGAGTAATGTAACCTCCCCTCGTGTCTCTGTTGCCCCTGAAAACATAGGCAGTGAGCACCTTCCACAAAGGAAGGAGTAAGGGCAATAGGTATGTTTACAGGTAGAGTCTGCCAAAAATGAATTGACATTTTGCATTGGCCCTTTAACTATGAAAACCCTTGCTAGTTAGTTGAATAATAACGATGCTTGCAGGGATACAGGGGAGGCCCTGCCCACGCCTGTTCTAAGTTTCTCCTATTTGTCAGGACACATCACAGTGTACCATCTCATCATCTCCAGGAAAGCTAAACTTTTTTTTTTTCAACAGCCCTGCTGTTTTTAAACGGGAGCCTGAAAGGAGCACTCTGTTTGTCGATGGACTAGGATGGGCCACGCCACCACCAGCACAAAATGTACAAGACCTGCTTTCTTTGGAGGCATGTTGTCCTTGGCAAGCAAGCCAGGCTTTTAATACCTACCTGTACATAATCCACGCTTCTCCCCAGCGCTTTGAATGCTGTGTACATTACTTCTCTTTTCCCGCCCCATTTCTGCATGATGCAGACACTTTTGTTGGACAAGACCAGCTGGGTGACATGCTGCATGCTCTCTTTATGGGACTCTTCGGTCTCATCGGGGCCTCGCTGGTGAAAGTTATTCCTCCAGACGTAAGTGGCCGATTTATCCCTGCCCATGATTTCACTAAAGATGTCCATCATGTAAACATCGTCTTCAGAATTCCCATCGATGACCATAATCACCTTAATCCCAGGGTATGTGAGCCTCTTCACTGAAAGTAAACATTTCCGCAAGTAGTCGGGGTCCTCTTGGTAGGCAGCAATGCAAAGGGCAACAGTTTTATTCAGCTTGATGGGTGTCTCGAGAGACCTCTTCATTTTCCTGTGTTCGAGAAAGGCAAACAGGCTTTGGATGATGAGGTGCGATGCCAGAATAGCACCATAGAGTCCAAAGGAAAAATAATAGTTGTCCGTTTGAATAAACTGGTACCCCACGATGTAAGCAGCTGAGATTCCAAGCAGGAGCGACACCCCAAATAGGGTGGTCCCGAGTATTCTCAAGATACATATAAACCGCTCGCAATGCATCTGCAAAGAGAACCAGACAGGTCATTGTTAACTTTGGGACAGTTACTCAGTATTTTTTTTTATTTTATTTTATTTATATCCCGCCTATCTAGTCACGATGGACTACTCTAGGCGGCCAACAACAAAGATAAAATACAATAAAATAAAACAACAAAATTACAAAACAATTAAAGTAAAGAAACAATAAAGGAGAGAAGAAAATCAAAAGTAATCTGGTGAGAAGGCCTGCCGAAACAACCAGGTCTTTAATAGGTTCTTAAAGGTACCCAGCGAGGAAGCTCCGCGAATACCAGGAGGTAAATTATTCCACAAGCGAGGAGCCACCGCCGAGAAGGCCCTATTTCTTGTTTTAATTCAGTTGAATAATTCAGTAATAATTCAGTTGAAGAAGCAATGGGCAACCCAAATGTTCTTCAACAGCAACATCCATCAGAGTCATCCTACTGTTTGGGCATGGGGGTGCTGCTCATTTAACGGCTGTTAGAAAGATTCTTCTAACCTGCGGGAGCGGTCATGTATGGTGGTGGATTCTCCAAGCCTTAGAGGTTGAAGGGCAACTTGTTGGAGATGTTTTAGGGAAGTGTTTCCTAATTTGGCAGGGAGCTGGATCTGATGATCCCTGTGGTCCCTTCCAGGTCTAATCTTCTATGATTAACCCCCCAACTCAACACCAGTCCTAACGAGAAGAGAGTAGGTTGCAAGGCAAACATATACCTAGCAAAGAAGAGATTGGGAAATTGTTAGCTCTGACAACATTTCAGCTTCATCTTGGGTCGCTTGCCCTCCACCCCACCAGCTCCAGCAGACCAAAGTTATCAGTGAGTTCCCCACATCCGTGCAGCTATGCCAGCTAAGGTGGAGGAAACCCACAGTCCAAAACATCTGGAGGTTTTGTAAGCTGGATGACTGACACATAATCCATTTCCCAAATTCTGACTCAGAAAGGGCGGGGAAAAATCTGTTCTTTAAACATTTTAGGATTTGTCATTCTGCACACACGATTTAGTGCTGTTTAATAACTCTTGAATAAAAGCCACACACTAAGAAATGCAGGCAATAACTGCCAAATCAATTGTTATTTAGCTAAAGAGTCTATGGTGAGAGCTGGAGACAATCCACATGTTAGGCAGCCCTTGAAAATCTGTCTTTGCAAGTCCATTAATAAGAACCACAACAAACCTCAGATCTTCTCATGTGTCTTTAAAATACTTTACAGCTAGCAAGGAAAAAATTACAAGCCACTGTTTCCCAGGCTAGACATCTGATCAGTGCCTGGCTGTGTATTGTTTTCTTGGGTCAGCATAGCCTGGGTGGCATAGGGTACCGTTGTTGGACAATTGAAAGCAGCTTCAGAAAAGTTCAAGCAAACAAAAGTGCTAGATGCAGTTCTGCTTGCCTTTTCTCTCCAAGAAAGATGGTCGTGAAAAAATTCTTTTTACAAATTCGTTTTGCACGGCACAAGCCAAACTCCAAAAGAGACTCCCTCAACCAAAATAAATAAATAAACTGTCTCCATTCACTGATATGAAATATCCTCTTCCTGCAAATTATTTTGCACTTTAGCCCACCCCATAAGAATGGTCCTTATGATGATGTCCCCCCAGCCACAATTTACAATTTAGTATCCTCTGTATTATAACTTGAATTTTCAAACTCAAAACCTGGGATCAGAGCTTGGAAGTACAAAAAAAAGTGACAGTTTAAAATAAGCCATCTGTTTAAAAAAAGATTCTGGAATGAAGGTTGTGGAAAGAGAAGGCTTTAGCATCCTTTTTTTCCTTTACCAGGTTTTGGGAAGTCAAACAACAAAACAAAATTCTCATTAATCTGGACCAGCCCAATTCAGTCAATACAGCTATTTCCAGCTTGGAAACACAGTAAAGCTCTCTATACTTTGATGAACTTTGACAAACACCATCTAGATCAATATGTCAATACTTATCCGGTGGCATGCTCTCAACGATTGATTGATATTGGACTACAGCTCCCAAAATCCTCCAGCCAACATTTATTTCCAAGGTCCATTGCTTTCGCAATGACCAGATAGGCAGGAGATATATATATATAAAAATATATATAAATTCTGGCCAGCCTTTGGAGATTTTACTCATTTGTTAATCCTACAGGACTGGATGTCCTCACAACTGCAACACCCAACCCACCCCAGGATATGTCTTTGGTTTGTGGGGGGGGGGGAATTCACCAAAAATTAACGAAGACTCAGAACAAAGCCAAATTAAGTTTGTAAATGTTTTACAAGGTGCACTAACGGTTTCAAGCATTTAAAACAGGTTTCAAACATTTTAAGACACTTTTAAATGAGTGAAAGCGAAAATCGCCCATAGAGAACATCGTTAAACGATGTGGAAAATTCCTCAAAAAAACCCATCGCTAAGCGAATACATCGATAAACGAAGCAATCGCTAAGTGAGGCACCACTGTATATGGTAACTCTATACAAATGGAAGAACACCTTCCCTTCACAAGAGGCAGAAGTTTCCAGTAAAAACCTTCTGCTGAATGGACAGGATGGAGAATCAATATTTGCCAATACTTGCTTTCAAACCCTGGCAACAACCCCCTGACCCCATGTTGCCCTCGATGTCCCCACAATCTCCTCAGAGCAATTTTTCCAGGAGGCATCAGTGGCTGGATAAGCAATGAAGGCCAAAGGAGGTTTGGTTGTTGTGGGGTTTTTCGGGGTCTTAGGCCGTGTTCTGAAGGTTTTTCTTCCTAACGTTTCGCCAGTCTCTGTGGCCGGCATCTTCAGAGGACAGCACTCTGTGCTCTGGTGTAGTTGGCTTGGGAGTACAGTATTTATGGCTGTGAGATAGGCTTTTGTGTTTTTCTGTAGATGGGTGATTAGTGTATCTTGTTGTGGGTGTATTGTTGTGCTAAGGAGAAGAGATTATCTGTCATTGTGGTTGATGGGTGACATTAGCTTGTCTTTTGTGTGTAGTGATCACCAGTCCTTGTGGGGGACAAAGGAGGTTTGCTTTCCTGTGGTCTCCTTCCAAGGAAAGGAGATTCTATTAGGTGGTCCTGTGGATCCAATTCATTGCTTTTACACCCCCTCCGGCCCAGCTCCGCGATGCCGAGCCTGATGAAAACGCCGGCTGGACTGGAGAGCTAGCATCTGTTTGTGAGTTTCTGGAAGTCAAATAAATGCACCATCCACCACAGTTTTTGGACTGGATCCAACCCTGTGACCTCTTTCCTCAGAACAGCTAGTCTTGTCCCAAAACTGCTGGATCCCAGCACAGTTATCAGGACATGTGGTTTTTTAAAATTAAAAAAACTTATTTTTAAAGGGCTCCTAACCAGTTTTGTAGTGGATGCAAGGCTCCCAGGTCTGAAGTAACAGTGCTATTTGATCAGCAGGGACCAAGACATCATCTGACCTTCATCATAGTTTTCTTCTTCACTCTGATCTTAGCCTCAATCCCCGTCCCTTTCTACCTACCTTACAGACACCTATATAGGATGCACCTTAGAGAAAGGCCTAAACTGGAAAGTTGTGATCCTGCCCCAGTTCTTACAGGAAGCTTTTTTTTCTGAACCGGACCCTTGGGTGGAGCTAGGCCTAGTCAAGTCTCAAAGACTTCCAAGCTTTAGGTGTTTTCTTCCATTTGCATCCTATTTAGGTGTCTGAAAGTTAGGTGGAACTCCCAAAATGGAAAATTATTATATTTTTAGTCCAGAAATCCAGAAATGCCATCTCTACTTGTCCACTAGAAGCAATTTGCCATCACGGTTCATGCTATTGGACTTATGCCAGAAAAACTAACCATTAGAATTCAGTCTACATACATTTTAAGCTCATTTATCTCTCTACCTGCCAATGATAAACATTTCAAAAATACCACACTGATATTGTATTAGCCATCAGCCATTCAACATTTCAGAAGAATCCTCTCTTCTATTTCGCATTAATGTCATAGCATTAGGCCTCTCTAGGTTTTAAAAATCAGCTACTGAATGTGACTCCATACTTTTCAGACTTTTTCAGAAGCATTTGTAACAATCCAGAAAGAAGGGCTTAATATTTTTCACGTCTGAACTTGCCGGAGAAAGACTTGAAGCATAAACCAACTTCCATTAGTCATGTTACATTATGTTGCTTGTGCTATTATTAGAAGTTCTCTTTTCATTTTTTAAAGCATGAGCTATATATACTCTGAGTCCTTTCAAAACTTGAAATAAGAGTCTGGCAACATTTGGTATTCGTAGCTTGTCTGTCGCTGGAATCTCTGTAAAGCTAAAGTTTGAGTTACGTGTGATCTTACAAAAATGCAAGACCCAACAAGCATGAAAAATAAGAAGGCACCACACTGCCGAACCATTTGGAAGTATATCTGCATATATGGGGAAAACAAACAAAACTTTTTTAGAGTCAGAAACACCCCAATACCAATCAATGCATATTTACTGCAAAGTGAGTCCCCAAAGGGTAAGCATTAGAGATGCGAGTATTTGTATTTGTATACGAATATCCCTGCACAGGTGGTGATAATGAGGGTCCAGCCGTATGGGGCTGGATGGTCCTCTCACTGATCTGCCGTGGATGCCGCGATCCTTCCAATGGGTCCACCGATCATGATCGGCTAATCACTCCTGGCAGGAGGCGGGAGGACAAACCTCGGTTCAAGGTTGAACAGTGGCTTGCAGATCACGATCTACAGAGCCATTGGAAGAATTGTGGCATCTGCGGCAGCGGCAGATCAGTGAATGGAGTGTCCAGCCTCCTGGGGATGGACCCTTGTTATTGCCACCTGTGCGGGAATATTTGTATTCCCATACGAATACCCCTATCTCTAATCAGCATGGCTTACTCTCAGATAAGGATATGCCAAGGGTGAAGAACCAACAGCCTTCCAGAAGTGGTTGAGGAACAGCTCCGATCATGCTTCCCAACTTGCTATGCTATCGAAATAATAATAATTACAAGCCGTCAAGTCAGAGATAAGGATATGCCAAGGGTGAAGAACCAGCAGCCTTCC